CGACCTGAACTGTATCCGGATGGATGTGTTTTAATAAAGATCGTATCGGGCCCATCCAGGTACAGACTGATGTTTCTAGGGAATTCTTGTACAGGGAATGAACATACTGCTAGGAGCTGGAACAAGAAATATGCTCTCCATAGAGGGCTCATGGGGGGGAAGGGGAGGAGATATGCTCTCCACAGAGGGCTCATGGGTGGAATGGGGAGGAAGTCTGCTGACCTCAGAGGGCTCATGGGGGAGGACCAGTGATAGATAATAGGAAAGGCTATGCTCCAATCGGAATGTACATCCTGTGTATAGGCACTCCCCATTGCATTGTTCTGTGGGAGGGGTTTGACCTTATTCATGTGGGGGGGGGCGTGTGTGTATTTGTAATAAAACCAGAGGGTGAGAATGAAAACTTCCTCTATGTGAATTCCAACAGCAACCTGAAAGTGTCGTGTGATCATTTCCAGGTATAGGGAGCTCCACCCCCCACATCTCAATCAGAAGCTAAAAGTAGTTGGATGGGCAGGAATTGTGTAGTTTAGCTGCAGTCGTGGTAAGCGAGATTCGCACAGCTTTATGGGGGATTTCTGCGCATCCAACTGCGAGTACTCACGGTAAGGAGAAATTCGTTAAAGCGAATTTCCAAGACAACACATACAAACACATGTACAAACACATACAGATGCATGTACACATACACACATGCACAGAAACACACACATACATACACATGTACACACACAGACACATGTACACACACAAACACACATACAAACACATGTAAACAGCCCTAAAAAGTTGTAATACGGTGCCTTCCATCACACAGTCAGGTACTGCACTCAAGGGTGGGAGGCAGAGAGCACAGCAGACACTGCCCCTCCCTTTGCTTTCACTTTGTTCAGTGTATTCAGCAGCCTGATGGCTCCCAATGCCAATGCCCAGGTAGCCCTGTGGGACAGACTAGCCCCAACCTTATTTCCACTTGCCATGTGAGAGCAGGCGAGTGGAAATTTTGAGGCCTGCTCTAATAGACTGTGTGTGTACCGTATTTTTTTCGCCATATAAGACGCACTTTTTCTTCCCCAAAACTGGGGGGGGAAATGTCAGTGCGTCTTATAAGGCGAATATGGAGCGGCCGGTCGGGTATTTCCACCGCGGCCGTGTCAGAATACCGGGCCGGCCGCTCAGCTCTGCAGCGGGACCTTACCTTTTCCTCTATCCAGCGGCGTGCTGTCTTCCCGTCTTCTGTAGTGTGGGCACTGGGCATGACAGCCGGGTGCGCATGCGCGAGAAGCGGTGCGCTTTGTGAAGGCGGTACCTGGGACACGTGACAGATCCCAGAAGCCGCCGGACCAATCACAAAGCGCAAGTGCTTCTCGCTCATGCGCACTGGGCACCCGGCTGTCATGCCGAGCGCCATTACAGAAGCCGGGAAGACAGCGCGCGGCTGGATCGAGGAACAGGTAAGATCAAACAAAAACTCTGCGGAAGTAAGAGCGGGTACCTGTCAAATTCAGGTACCCGCTCCCCACTTCCCCAAAGGTCAGCAGTCATCTGTACTGTCCGCAGTCTCTGGTCATCCCTGTGCTGTCTGCAGTCTCTGGTCATCCCTGTGCTGTCTGCAGTCTCTGGTCATCCCTGTGCTGTCCGCAGTCTCTGGTCATCCCTGTGCTGTCCGCAGTCTCTGGTCATCCCTGTGCTGTCCGCAGTCTCTGGTCATCCCTGTGCTGTCCGCAGTCTCTGGTCATCCCTGTGCTGTCCGCAGTCTCTGGTCATTCCTGTGCTGTCCGCAGTTTCTGGTCATCCCTGTGCTGTCCGCAGTCTCTGGTCATCTCCTGTACTGTGTCTGCAGTCCATTAGTTCAGAATTTTTTTTTTCCTGTTTTCTGCCTCTAAAACCTAGGTGCATCTTATGGTCAGGTGCGTCTTATACGGCGAAAAATACGGTAATAGTAGAGAAATGGTCCTGCAGCTATATAATACAGGTGCATGCAAGAAGGGGCTACTCTGTATTACTGCACGGAAAAACAAAGAAGTAGATTAATTTACAAACGTGAAGGACACAATATTTGCAGATGCTCTTCATATTTACTAATGCTTAAAGTCCACGTCAATATTAGGAACTACTCAACCACTTAAAGTGTATGTCAAGCCAAAAACCTATTTTCTAGCTTTAGAGTGGAGAAGGATTATAGCACTGTCTCATTTTAATAGTTATCAATTGTTTTGTTAGAGAAATTACACCTCAATTCCTGTCCTGGTGATAACAGTTTTACCAGAAAGGAAGTGAGAGAAAATTTGTAACAAGGACACAAACAGCAATATATATCTGACAGAGGTTTTAGCCTTTCCCTACTCTATTAAAAATGTATTTCTGACTCTGTTGAAAAGATCTCTTCACTTCCTGCTTGGTAAAATGTTGTCAGTAGGACAGAAAATAGGAATCAGCCTGTGCTGTAGCAATCTTACCATTCCAAGCACAAAATCAGATCTGTGCAGACATGGACAGTTTACATTCCTTGAATGATTACTAGGAGTTACAAGTTGCTGTGCTGATGTACAGCTTCCCTGTGTCTCCTGTAGTCAGTTTTGTACCCTCTGCCCAGCCCTGTTTTGATGACTGGCAACGGCTCTTAACCACTGTGTCTAATGCAATTAGGTAGCCTGCTCGGTGGCAAGAAAAAAATTTCCCTGCACTCATAAGAGACATGGGAAGGTAAGGTGGATAGTCCCTACACCACAGAATAAAACAGCACAAATCAGGTATTTACATGAGTAGTAGCAATTTTGGAAAACCAGAGAACTCTGGACATGGACTTCTGAGGAAAACAAGTGATTTATTAAAACAGCGCTGTTTTGACACAGCGTGGCTCATGCCTGCAAAGCCGAGTAAGTTGAAAATCCTCACAGTGTATACATATTAACAATTATGTCACAATGCATACATTTTTTCTTTCACTTTCTATTACTATGAAAAGGCTTTCTAAACTCTACAGAATAACTTGAGCAGCAGCTGCAGATAAGAGTACTAGCTACTAGCTGGTACATATCACTCACAGGAAATAAGGGAGGGGGGAAGATGAGCTGAAAACCTTGCAAGCAGATACTGTTATAAATGTTACAGTTTAAAGGGGAATTCTGCCATATCTGTGTGCTACCACACATGCTTAGTTAAAAAAAAAAAAAAGTTACCACAGTTGTTGAAAATAATTTGGACTGCTATGCTGTATTTTTGAGTCGCTTCAAAAAATACTTTTATTTTTAGGATAAAGTTCTGAAGTAACCATATCAACAACTGTGAAGGAAGGAAGTGAAACATTTTGTTATACAGAAAAGAAAACTGACAGAAGATTGACATTACATGGCAGGCTTATTTTTCTGACTGCACAGTACCTGTCCAGCAAACTTGCCTTGTGCTCAGTTTCCATACTAATAGGCATTTTGCGGCTTGGATTTCTTCTTATTTTCCATCCTACTTCCTTCTTCTTCTTCTACCAAGGCTGACAGGCAAGGGATTGTCAAACAAACAAGCATGTCCTCTATTTATGTGACTTCAAAGGTGATACTGGATAAACACTTACAATTATATGTATGGCAGTGTCAAGGTAAAAGCTGTGTTGACATGCCCACCTTGACTACACTGTAGGGGATACAACATGGAAAGATGATAGGCTTAACAAGATGTGTAGGCTGAAAATCAGTTCACAGGAAAGCAAGACACCAAATAAAATTCCCCAGGGCATGGAGTTTAAGAGCCAGCCAGTATTCACCAGCACGTTGAAAGATTTTTCTGTGTGCTGACCCCAGACGGCAACCCCCAGATTAACCCTACTCAAGATCAGAACAAGAAGGTACCCAGCAGTACGTTTGAAGCAGAAAGGTACATGGCGGTGACAGTTCAGAGGACAGAGCTGTTTGCAGACAGAGTAGGGAAGGTACAGGTTAGAGTTCAGGTCCTGGCAGACGTGGATAGCCAAGAATGAAGCCAAGGGTCAGGACAGGTATCAGACTCAGATCGCAAGGAACAAATCCAAAGATCAGGGTAGGTAGCAGACTCAGATAGCCAGGAACGAAGCCAAATTAAGGCAGGTAATGGGCTTACATAGGAAACAGTCAGAGGTCAGTATACAAGTACCAGTGGAGGAAAGTTGGCAGGATAACAAGCAGGTAAGGGGCTCGGCAGCTAGCTTGCAAAAGTATTTCTCAAGCAGCAAGCCAAGAATTGCAAAGAGTTTTTAGGCATAGGACATAGAAATAGGCAAGACACAAGGAGGAAGATTTTCTGATTGGATTCATCCCAGCAGATTGGCTACAGCATTAATAAAGGTAGCAATAGGTGGATTGAAATTCATCCAGTTCAGCAGGGATCACCCACATTTCGATCCATGTGTGACCACTGCAGTTGAACAGAAGAATTTATTGTTTTCTTTTCAACTGCCCTGTTGGATAAACGTCACTCGATCAGCCGCTGCAGCCAATACAATAGCAGAGTGGGAAGGATTCCCCCATCCACCTCGAGTGTGTGAAAAAACTAAACCATGTGTGGCCAGCCTGAGAGACAGAAATCTAGGCTGGGCAAGGCCTAGCCTTTTAGCTGTACTGGAGCGCTGGACTGTGGAGGGGAGGGAGCAGCTGGCTCAGGTTTTCAACGGATCGCTGAGAGGCTGAGCCAGGTGTCACTTCAGACTCTGGGATGGATCCTGACTTTAAAGTCGGGATCTTTCCCCAGCTTGGACCGGCTAAGTGATGTCAGCCAACAGCTGAAATGGGTCACAGGAGTGCAGAACGAACTGCAGAAGAGTTTTGGCTGTACATCTCCTTTAAAGTGTTATTAAACCCACAACAATAAAATCAGTCTGTATATGCAGTAAAACATGCTTGTTATACTCACTGTGGAACCTCTGCATTGTGTTAAAAGGATGTTTAATCCTAGCTCCTCTAAAACTTCCTTTCTTCCACTGTCCCTGACTCATCCCCTGATAGAACAGAGCCTTGGGGGCAAGTTTGATGTGTATTGCTAGAGAGTTTTTTTTTCTTGGGAGAGTGCATGTGATAAGCACAGGGCCAATCAGAACTGTCCAGACAGAGGGTCAGGGGTCCTGCAGTCTCATAGGACAGTGAGAAGAGAATGAAAATTCCTCCTGCAAGCTTTAGCCAGTGCTTTGCTGGATGCTGATAGAAGTCACAAGACTGCTCTTCTGATGAGAAAAGGTATTTAGCAGTTTATATTTACTAAAATAATTGCAGTTCCATGCTCTGTGTACTGTGGGAGACCAGATATAGTGAATGCAGGGCCCTGGGTTTAGTAACACTTTCAGTTACTGAACAATACAAGAAATTATTATTATATTTTTTAGAAGAACAAAGGAACAAAACTATGTATATAAATATATTTTCCAGTATGTATTTGTAATCAACATGCACAGCATTAATCTCCATGTTTTCATGTGAAAGAAGGAATGGATTAAAATAAAGTAAATGAGAACAAACACATCAGGGTTTTGTTTACTAAAACTGGAGAGTGCAAAATCTGGTGCAGCTCTACATAGAAACCAATCAGCATCCAGATTTTTTTGGCAAAGCTTAATTGAACAAGCTGAGGTTAGAAGCTGATTGGCTACCATGTACAGCTGCACTCTCCAGTTTTAATAAATCAAGCCCAATGTGCAGTATGTTTTCTTCATCTTTTTTTACAGACAAATATATAAGCAGCGTGATGCAAAGTCATTTAATATTCCACCTGGAGGATAGCAAATATAGCTGATATAGGTTAGACTCAGGATCAACAGATGATTGTTTGGAATGGGATGGGTTGTGGCTGCGGGTATGGGTTAGAAGAGATCCATCCAGAATAGGGTGATAGGAGAGCAAGAGATCAATGCTTCTCAGACAATGTTAACATTTGGATGGGCACCCTCCATGTGCATGTAATATTTTTATATGGGAGAACAGCACAGCACCAAAGAAGTAACCAAGTGGTAAGGGTCAGGATGCGCTCAGAGATCCAATTAAGTATGGTAGAATTTCGAGCTGCAAAAAGGAGGGATTTTCTGTGTTAAAGCTCCAGAAAGACAGCTAAACATGCAGCTTAAATACTTTTAAGAAAGCTAATTTACCTGTGAAAGCATTTGTATTTTTGTTCATCTTCTCCTGAAATTCACACAGCCCTATCACACAGCACATCATTGTCAGTTCGAACAGGAGACCTGATTTTTATCTGCTGCAATTAACCACTTCCTGTCTGCCCTATAGCAGAAGTACTGCTACAGGGCGGCACGGGTGCGCAAAATCACGTATATATATACACATGATATTGCATCTCCGGGTAGGGGGCACGCGTGAGCCCTACCTGTGCCGCCATTCGCAGCTGTAAATCAACAGGTCACGGCCGATGAGTACTCGCCACCACCTGGTGATTGTCAAGCATCTCAGATGTGGATGACAACTGTTTGTAAACAAAAACAGTTCTCTGCCCTGTCAGCTCCTGCACACTGCTTTGCATGGCTGTGAAATGTGCAAAACATTTGTGTATACATATAAAAAGCATTATAAATATGTAAGCAGGTGCTTGTGGGTGTCATTTAACCGATTTTACCGCCACCCTATAGCAGAAATACTGCTGCATGGAAGCAGGGGTGCTCAACATCACGTATATATGTGATTTTGCATTTCCGGGTAGGGGGCGCGTGCGCCCTACCCGAGCCGACATTAGCGAGCTTGCCTGTCAATCACCGGGTCCCGGCTGGTGATTACTCACCGGCACCCGGTGATCGCCGAGTAATTCTGATGGGGGGAGAGGACTGTATGTAAACAATACAGTTCTCTCCCCTGTCAGCTCCAGCACACTGCTTTGTATGGCTCTGCATAGCAGAGCCATACAAAGCAGTGTGCTTACAGGGGAAAGCACAGACACAGCCCCATAGTAAAATACACACAGCACACAGTTAACCCTTTGATCACCCCAGATGTTAACCCCTTCCTTCAGTTAGAGTAACACAGCACCGTAACACAAAAAATGGTCTGTGATAAAATATTTTCTCAGGCTGCCCCCTCTTGTAAGCCACACAAGTACAAGGGGAGGGCTCAGAACTCGCTCTCTTGCACATGGGATTTCAAAGGAAGCTCTGCTGTAACATGTAGGCTTACTGGAGCACATGCCCCCTTCTGGGTCACTCTTCTGGGATTCTCCCTGGACTAGGAGCCTACCATTACTGGACACTTGATGAAAGGATCTTTCTTCTCTGGAAGGTATGAACCTGGCAGCCTGCATTAGTTAGTTAGGGCTGGACTCGTTTCAAGTGTGCTGTGCTGTTGAACTATGGCTGCTGTAAAGCTGGTAACTGCTTCAAGCTTTGAAGGGGTGCATGGCGGTACATGGCATAGCAGAAAAACAGGGCCTGTAAAGCACATATGGGGTACAGAAGCAAGGCCACTACAAAGGGTTAACTCAGCAGAAGATTTGAAAGATGTAGAAGTTGCCACGGGTAACCAACAACTTGTGGAAGGTGTATAGCAGCCTGTAATGAAGTGTGGTATCTGGCATGGCGACAGAGGCATATTTACCACAAGGCAAACAAGGCATTTGCCTAGGGCGGCAGGTTTTTAGGGGGGCAGCACTGCCCCCCGGAAGGAGGGACATAGGGACCAGGTGGGATCTGAGAGTAGCAGTGGGCTGCTTGATGTTGCATGCAGAGCCGAAATGTCGTTCCTGGGGATGGCTATAGCTGTGAAGGTGAGTGTCTTTCTTTCTGTCGGGGGGGGGGGAGGGGGTGTGTTAGTGGAAGGCTTTCTCAGGTGGGGGGGGATGGGGCAAGGGTGTTGCTGGTCACTGTCAGGCTCTCTCCGCGTGGGGGGGAGGTCTGGTGTTGGTTGGTGTCAGTATATCTCCCCCCGGGAGGGGGGATGGGGGCGTCCAATTTTTGTGTTGCCTAGGACAGCAAAAAACCTAAATACACCACTGCATGGCGATCAGTTCTCCGAGAGCGAGGGTGGCAGTGCTCTGACTCCCTCCCAAGTTGTTGGTTTCCAAAAGTGTCAGGACCAGACCCACATTGCAGAGACCCATGGCTTGGCCGCATGGTACGAGATAGAGCAGCAAGAGTTAAACAAGTGCACATATGACGAGGAAGGTGTGTGTAGTGACACGGGATGGAATGCTTCACAGAGGAACTGTGTAGGTCACACAGATACAGTGTATGGCTCATAACTAAGTCGGGTTACCACCATAATGTTGATTACACATGAACGCAGAGCAGCCTAGTCCTGAACATCGATGATCGTACACACACACGTAAAAAAATACTCCCACATGCAGGGCGAGGTGGCCCCCACCCACTACTTGGCGTCGCCAGCAGAATACGCCCACTCCACACCAACAAATACCTTTTTTTCCCCATTTTTTGATGATCACATTCCCTCCAGTTTCAGCTGCATAAGAGCTCAGGGAGGAGAAACTGCAGTGCACTGACATTTCCAGTGACTGGCTGTGCAGAGGGGTTTTACTTTTTTGTACAAGTGCATGGTACATGTTTGGAATATGAAATGTTAGTTTTACAAATTCTTTAATGTTTAAATAAAGGAATTTAGTTTACAGCTATTTAGCCATTTGTATGCTTAGGTACAGCCAGATTTGTTCATTACATGTGAAGGATAGCAAGCTGGTCAGGTAAACTAAAATTATAGCTCAAAATGTGTACTCACTGAAAAAACATTGACAAGAATCTATCAAAACTGGAGCAGCCAGAATCTAAGCAATTGTACATGGCAACCAATCAGCTTCTATGGTTCATTTTCAAAGCCTAATCAAACAAGCTGAAGATAGAAGCTGATTGGTTGATAAATCCCCCCCAGTTATGCTTCTCTTTTAATTCCCTTTTAGCCTCGAAACAGAATTGTTGATTTGGTTACCGGTAGTTATTCTAATACATTTGACTTCTAAAGTTCTTCTGTGCACAACAATTGAAATACTTTATAAAATGTTGCTTATTTTTTGCCTGCAGTAACCTTGCTTGATCTCTGAGCATTTCTATATATCAGGAAACAAGTGTTGTTTACCTGTCTATTACAGAGCCAGAGAAGTGGGCAATCAATGGCTTTTCAGTATGAGGTGCAGAGGCTCACCTCGCTGACCTCTGATCTATGCTTTGCTGAAGATGCCATCTTCTGACTGTCACAAATGTTCTGTTATGATCATATATTTTTCTTGGGAAGGATACACATAGTTATACTTTACTGCACTATCAACTATCCTCTGAAACAACACAGGACATAAATGTCCTGTTATTACACCTCTCGGGAAATCGTTTTAAAGAGCAAAAAGTTGGAGGCTAGTAAATGCTCAGAGCATTTGAGGAAACCTATTGACTTTAATTATGAGGATAGTTTTTTTGCTTGATTGCAATAGTTTAGATTGCTTGTTAGTGGTGTCAGAGAACAAGCACAGCTCAGACATTGGAGAACTAATGTTTAAAATAAACCTATCATTATGCAAAATGTTCAGAATGGGTGGCCAGCTTAACAGTACAAGCAACTTGGGGTTTCCTTGGCTGGATATCTCCATAGGGACATTCAATTTTCATTTGTTGCAGCCTAAAGCATGTATAATACAATATATAATATATCATGAAATTATATTTTAACTATATTATAAATAATTAACCACTTGCCAACTATGCTATACCAGACGGCTACAACATGGTTATCTAGTTCTGGGAGGGTGTCTTTAGATGACTACCCAGGACCCCGCGCCTGAGCACCCCTGGGGGGGGAGGTGCATTGGGTGCACTCTGTGATCTTTGTGTCCTTTGGGCACAACTGATCACAGATCCTGGTAAAGGGTCAATCACATCAGCCCTTTACCATATGATCAGCTGTGTTCAATCACAGCTGATCACATGTAAACAGACTTTCCTGTTATCAGTAATTCCTTTCCTCACATGCTGTGTCTGTATGAGGAAAGGAAAGCTGATTACCAGCAAAACTGTACATGGTTTACACTGATAATCAGGGCACTGATCATCAGTGCCTCAATTGTCAGTGCAGCCCCATCAGTGCCCATCAGTGCAGCATATCCATGCTGCCTATCAGTGC